GGTTTCAATCCCTTGGATTCCCTAACAGAGTCCTCAAAAAAGCATTTCACAAAGTATCCCAAACCGATAGAGCATCCAGTCTAAGAACATGAGGTCCCCTCAAAACAAAACCATCAGATGAATAGCCAAATTTGATGGAGGCTGGTCTACCATGACTGACACCCTAAAAAAACATTGGCACATTTGAACACATAATCAGGACCGTAGATAATTTTTACCTGTGCATCCAGCCATCACAGCCTGCCGATTCAAGAATCTCCATATTTACTTGTACATAGTTGTAACGGACCGTTTTGCCCAAAAGAGGTTAAAACCGTTTAGGCGATATTCCCCTTTCAGATGCCCAGACAGCTACTGCAATCACCAATCTCCCGAACTGCAAACTACACAAATTCTCCAACTCCCGAACAGGAAACAAACGAATACTGGAAACTGCTGAACAGGAAAAACCATACGAAAGGTTTACACTCCTGGCAGTCAGCATACAATCCAATTCCCCCAATAATGAGACGACACTTCGTTTGAGGGTTAAGCAGAATATATTTACTGGCAGCAAAAGGACCTTCTTTTATGCAGGTTTTGCTTAGATAGGACCACCCACAGGGTTTTACAAAACAACCAACCATACACGTATATTACAGAAACACTCCCAGCAATTACATACAAAATCCTCCCCCTCTGCCTGTGAAATAATTATGTTACACAATGGTTTAACATAATTAACACAGGCAGGAAAAATACAGTTTTTATACATATCCTGTAACTTTAAAACCATACATCCAATCTTCATAAAAATGACATATTTAGAATCAGCAACCTTCAAATATAAACATAACCAAAAATCATCCAAATCCATCCAGGGGTTAAAAGGTTAGCTGAGGTCCCTTTATGACCGACCGCAAGCACATTTTCTTGCCCAAAGCAGTTCCATAGATTTGGGCTGTGCGGTCAGTCTATTTCAGGCTGCAAAAACGACTAAGTCCTATCACCGAATGGTCTCTGCGGCTGTAAAATCATTGTGGGAGCAGGTAGGGCTCAGCTGTGTTCGCGGAAATGTGTAGCCGATTTTAGTTCCATGAATTTGGCTACACGTACCGCTGACCTCGTGCGAATGAACAAAGATGGCCGCCGCCATGTGTTCGGCAAACGAACAAAGGCCACCCAGCATTGTCAATTAAGCTGCGGTTAACCGCAGCTTCTGGGAGGTAAATTGCCGACACACTCCCAATACAGGTGGTCCGCCTGTGTGGTACATGGTTCAGTAAGCCCCATTTACTGAACCAAGTGGGCAATAGCTGGGAACAAAGGGTTTTAACCCGGTCTGGGGACACAGGGGACACTGTCTTAAAGGGACAGTGTCCCAAACAAGTCTGGGGACACCGTCTTAAAGGGGGCAGTGTCCCAATTTTCCATATGCCCCAAAAAGGTGCTTAAAGGGCCAGCACCAGTCCCATAAAACGTGCATAAGCTTTCACAATCTCCCAGGGGCCATAGTCTAAAGGCAGCAGGCAGGCAACCAGGCTTTTCCAGTGAATAGTGGCGAGGTTGGTTCCGCCACAATAGTCAACTTGAAAAAACCTACAGACTCTTTCTGGTTAACTCCAATCAAAAGTACTTATCATTGCGGCCACTGAAAGGCATGTAGATACATCTCACCTAGTTAATTTACCAAGTCCAACCAAGCAAATATTATAGTTAACACTAAAGCCTTTGTGAAATGTAGCACTACCAAAGTCATATACCTAATCACCTGCTCCTGAAAAAAAATAATATATAGGAAAAACCTATCAGGAATTCAGATGACGTATCATCTAACACATCAACTCTACTATCAGTTCCGGCAATCTCACTCCAATTGCCAGACATTTGATTAATTTTCACAGTGCTGATCCTGACCACCTGAGATTTCAAGCTATAAAGAAATTTAATCCCCAATTCACATAAAGGCAATTTCAATCTCAAATTACTTCATAGGGAAACCAGATTTATTTGCAAATACCAAACAATGGCACCCCATCAGGAAATCCTTTGAGCAGTATCATTATTTTCTCCTTATTTTGACCAAGAGAGGGAAGAAGAAGTAGGAAAGTCTACAGTGCTCGACTGCCACGGTGGACCCGTGCGTCTTCCCAAAACGTAGACTAGTCATGATGGTCTGTGCACCCGGGGGTGGTGGCCACACTGTGCATTAGAGATGGCCCAACTTAGTCTACAGATTGTAGCATAGGTGCACATAGGTGCACAGATTAGTTTTGAGGCTTAGCAGCTCACTGACTCTCACCACTACTATTACAATTTTTTACTCTTTCCTTTTTTGTTTACTCAGCACCAACAGTCTTTTTCTGGACTTCACTCCACCACACCCTCCCTCCCCCCTCCCCCTGTAGCTGTTATACAGAGATTGAACACTGTTTAGCTGAGGGTTCCCCCTGACACAGTAGAGCAACAACGATATTATGTTGCAACCTTGAGATATTAGTTACATATAGCGTTGATCCCTCATAGGACACTAGCTGCCTATACTGTTGTCACTCAGCTCTGTTTGCTACTTCCCCTACACTTATTCCCTGAGTAAACAGCAGTATATGTATATATATATATATATATATAAACAAAAATAAAAATCAAAATGCACTCACAGGTCTTCTGGTTAATAGGAAAACTGGTGCTTTAATAAATCATCTGTGATGTACAAAAAAATCAATCGACGTTTCGACCCTGCCGGGTCTTTTTCAAGATCATATAATACATGACAAGAAAGTGTTTATATATAAAATACAAATCTAAGTGAATAAACACTTACCCAATGGTGAAGTGAGGAGGAGTGTGTTTGCCCATTAGAACCCGGAAGTGAATGGAAGCTGCACACAACGTCACGTGATCAGGGCGTCGTACAGGGAAAAAGTGGTTGCCAAGGCAACAATACACAAAGTAGAAAAATCCTATGCCGGGAGCAAGTAGATCAGTGTGAAGCAAGGAGTGGGTAGTGTAAACTACTAATACAAAGTGAATGATACAAAAGTCAGGAGAATCGAGTACATAAGCAGCAAGTGCTGTGCAGTGTCATGTGAAAACCTGAGTGATAAACGTGTGAGCACACAACAAACAAATATAATAAACTGTGAAAAACGAATACCTGGCATCATAAATAAAATCAAAGCAAAAGAGCAGAGTATATACAAAAATACTGTATACAAAATTATACAATTATCTTATACATGATATCCACTAAAGTGTATAGTATGCAAAATTAGTAATATAATAATTTGATGCTAGACAATATGACATAAACACCAAGTGACACACGGGTTTTTTATAATGAAAAAACATCTAAACTAAATATATAGCCTAGAAACCTACGAAGGAGGCTGAGGAAACCTGAAGAATAAAGAATCAGCTGCATCTTAAGTAATCCAAAAAACATGACAACGGAGAAATAGATACAGAGACCAGAGCTAATGAAAAAGATCCTTAAATAAACAAAGCCAATAAATTGATCTAACGTGCTCTCACAAATGGGACTGTAGCTTATGATTTCTCCATACATATAAACAAAAACAAAAAAACAAAAAAAACAAAAAAAAAAAAAATTATTGTCAATCTAATGCTAAAGAGAGCTACAAGTTAATCATAGAAGGGTGCTGGACAAGTCTCTAAATATAGATGGTCTAAAAATAATATCTAACTTGTAGTATCAAGACAATAGCACAATGAAAAATAATTGCCAAGTGCGAAAAATAAAAATTACAGTAAATAATAATAAAAGTAGAAATTCTTAGATAAATGGTATCTAACATGCAGTGTCAAGCTGATAGCATATGAGGACTCTCTACATACCAAGTGTTAAAATAGGATAAAGCACCAGCAGTAATCAATAGACAACAAATCTAATAGTCTAAGTCAAATGGAAATATTGCAAAAATGTGGAAAATATATGTAATAAACAATAATGTGGGTAGCGTATGATTGCTACCTACAAAAAAATAAAAAAAATAAAAAATAAAAGGTAGTTGCAGAATGGAACTGGTGCATACTGAAGTAGTAGGACAGAATATATCTGAACAACAACAAATAATTAACAAGGGCATAGAATACAAATAACTGGAAGTAATGAAAAATAATCATAAAAAAGATACATGAAATCTACAGGTATCTTAATGGAGAAAACAAAAAATAAAAAATAACTGACTAATGGAACTATCTGAAGCTATGCTGGTGACAAAAAATGTAAAGATGTATATAATAATGCAATAATAGGCATCACCACAGGGTAGATATACTGTATATGGACATAAAATAAGAGTACACGAATAATCATAAGAACATGGAATAAATGCTTTTCATTTAAACCTTTGGGTGTGACCGTGTCCAAGTGGTGGATCCAGTAAGCTTCTCTCTGTAGAAGCATTTTGGATCGGTCGCCACCCCGAACTAGAGGAGGTACATGATCAATGCCTATAAATTTGAGCGTAGGAAGGTGATGCTGCATAGCCAGAAAGTGTTTGGCTACTGGTTTCTCCGTGGTTTGGTCTCGATATGCCGTCATTATACCAGAGTGATGTCCCCTCACACGTAATGTGAGGTCTGTCTTCCCAACATACGATAGTCCGCATGGGCATGTCACCATGTAAATTACGTGATCCGTCGTGCAAGTGATGTAATGATTAATCGGTATCCTTTTACCCGTATGTGGGTGGAAAAGGAGGTACTGGTCAGCATATGGCTACAAGTCACACAGCCCGTGCACTTAAAGCAGCCCTTCTTTTTGATCCATGTTTTCTTAGTATAGCATTGTGTAGGATCATTGCGAACTAGTAAGTCTCTCAGATTGCGGTTTCTTTTATAGCTGATCATAGGACGTTGTTGGAAGATCGGAGGAAGAATCTTATCGGCTTGCAGTACGTCCCAGTGTCTGTTTATAGTATTTTTTATTTTTGAAGTTGCTGTATGATAAGTCATAGGGAGGAATAATTGTGTCTTCGTGGTTTTAATATTCGTGCTGGATTCAAAACGGTCTCTAGCTCTTTGTTGAGCAATCTCCAGTGTATGGGGGGCATAGCCCCTGTCAATAAACCGTTGTTTCATTTCAGCCAGCTGAGCGTTCATATTAGAGGTATCGCTGTTGTAGCGAAAAACTCTAAGAAACTGTGAGATAGGTAAAGAGTCTTTAAGATGTTGGGGGTGAAAGCTAGAGGCTGATAGAATAGTATTTCTGTCTGTATCTTTACGGTATAGAGTGTAGCCAATATCACCTGTTTTTTTGTACAGTAAAACATCCAAAAAGTGGATTTGATCCTGATTGTGGTTGAGCGTAAATTTTATAGTTGTGGGTAACGTATTTAGTTGTTGAACCATTTCTTCCAATTCCTGATGTGTGGTAGTCCAAAGAAGAAGGATGTCATCGACAAACCTAAAATACTTCAGTATTTTGTTCGCATATGTGGAGAAAATGTATTCTTGTTCAAACCAGGACATGAAGATGTTAGCATATGATGGAGCCATGGCTGCCCCCATAGCAGTTCCGGATGTCTGCAAGTAAAAGTTGCCCTCAAATTTGAAATAATTGCAGGAGAGTGCAATAGTGAGTAGTTCCAAAATAAATTCAATAGGGGGACCTTTATACGCTGTGCATTTGGACAAGGTGATACGAACAGCTTCAATACCTTCGGCTTGTGGTATTGCGGTGTATAAATTTTGAACGTCCAGAGTGGCAAATATGAATTCACGCTGGATATCATGTCCTAGTTCTCTAAGTTGGCTTAAAAGATCTTGGGTGTCTTTAAGACAGAATGGTAACTCTTTGACGCTGTCTTGTAGATGATAATCCACGTATTTGGCAATGGGTTCTAACAGACCACCCCTTGCCGAGACTATGGGTCTGCCTGGGGGGTTATGGCTGGATTTGTGGATCTTGGGCAAGGTGTAAAGAACTGGATGTATAGGGTGAATCACCAAAAGATATTTAGCTGTGTTAGAATCAATGTATCCAGCTTGGAGGCCCATATCAATAAGTTGTTGGATCTTGTTTTGAAATGCCAGCACAGGATCATAAGTGAGTTTTCGATACGTTGAAGTGTCATTCAGCTGTCGCATAATTTCACACTTGTATTGCTGGTATGATTGAATCACAACGCCTCCGCCTTTATCAGCAGGGCGAATTACTATGTTCGCATCATCACGGAGATCCTGAAGTGCAGCCTTTTCATCCAAAGTTAAATTGGGTCTATGTTTCGGTGGAGTTTTTATGATCTTCAGCGCATCCTTATGTATGGTCTGTACATAGGTTTTAATGGTCATGTTATTTGATTTGATATCCTTTTTCTCCTTGGTAATAAAAGGGTTTGGTTGATATGTAGGATCTTCTTTCCTGTACTCATTGGCATATAGAGTGCGTTGTAACTTGTACATATCGATTTCAACTGAGAATGCCTGTGGTTTTTTAACAGGGATAAAAGTAAGACCCTTGCTTAAAAGGCTGAGATGGGCTTCTGTTAGTAGTTTATTAGATAGATTAAAGACTACTGACGTTTCCTCTGTGATGGAGGTTTGGCGGCGGTGTTGGCATATCTGGTGACCCTTTTTCCCTCGCCTGGGGGGTCTCTTTTTCTTAGTTCGCTGGATTCCATACCCATGCCCATACCTGGGGGGTCTTGATGATGAGTGCCAATATCTAAAAAAGGTTCAGTTCTGGACTGTGGTCTGGTATCTTTAGGTTCAGCATCCGAGGCTGATTCCCCCGAGCTGATGTCAATCGTGTGCGAGGAAGGTCTGGTAATGCGGGGTCTAAATCTAGGAAGAATATTCCTAGTGGTGGTATCCGATCTTCCAACAACGTCCTATGATCAGCTACAAAAGAAACCGCAATCTGAGAGACTTACTAGTTCGCAATGATCCTACACAATGCTATACTAAGAAAACATGGATCAAAAAGAAGGGCTGCTTTAAGTGCACGGGCTGTGTGACTTGTAGCCATATGCTGACCAGTACCTCCTTTTCCCACCCACATACGGGTAAAAGGATACCGATTAATCATTACATCACTTGCACGACGGATCACGTAATTTACATGGTGACATGCCCATGCGGACTATCGTATGTTGGGAAGACAGACCTCACATTACGTGACAGAATGAGGGGACATCGCTCTGGTATAATGACGGCATATCGAGACCAAACTACGGAGAAACCAGTAGCCAAACACTTTCTGGCTATGCAGCATCACCTTCCTACGCTCAAATTTATAGGCATTGATCATGTACCTCCTCTAGTTCGGGGTGGCGACCGATCCAAAATGCTTCTACAGAGAGAAGCTTACTGGATCCACCACTTGGACACGGTCACACCCAAAGGTTTAAATGAAAACATCATTTATTCCATGTTCTTATGATTATTCGTGTACTCCTATTTTATGTCCATATACAGTATATCTACCCTGTGGTGATGCCTATTATTGCATTATTATATACATCTTTACATTTTTTGTCACCAGCATAGCTTCAGATAGTTCCATTAGTCAGTTATTTTTTATTTTTTGTTTCCTCCATTAAGATACCTGTAGATTTCATGTATCTTTTTTATGATTATTTTTCATTACTTCCAGTTATTTGTATTCTATGCCCTTGTCAATTATTTGTTGTTGTTCAGATATATTCTGTCCTACTACTTCAGTATGCACCAGTTCCATTCTGCAACTACTTTTTTTTTTTTTTTTTTTTATGTGGTTTATATGTATGGAGAAATCATATGCTACAGTCCCATTTGTGAGAGCACGTTAGATCAATTTATTGGCTTTGTTTATTTATGGATCCTTTTCATTAGCTCTGGTCTCTGTATCTATTTCTCCGTTGTCATGTTTTTTGGATTACTTAAGATGCAGCTGATTCTTTATTCTTCAGGTTTCCTCAGCCTCCTTCGTAGGTTTCTAGGCTATATATTTAGTTTAGATGTTTTTTCATTATAAAAAGCCCGTGTGTCACTTGGTGTTTATGTCATATTGTCTAGCATCAAATTATTATATTACTAATTTTGCATACTATACACTTTAGTGGATATCATGTATAAGATAATTGTATAATTTAGTATACAGTATTTTTGTATATACTCTGCTCTTTTGCTTTGATTTTATTTATGATGTCAGGTATTCGTTTTTCACAGTTTATTATATTTGTTTGTTGTGTGCTTACACGTTTATCACTCAGGTTTTCACATGACACTGCACAGCACTTGTTGCTTATGTACTCGATTCTCCTGACTTTTGTATCATTCACTTTGTATTGGTAGTTTACACTACCCACTCCTTGCTTCACACTGATCTACTTGCTCCCGGCATAGGATTTTTCTACTTTCTACTTTGTGTATTGTTGCCTTGGCAACCACTTTTTCCCTGTACGACGCCCTGATCACGTGACGTTGTGTGCAGCTTCCATTCACTTCCGGGTTCTAATGGGCAAACACACTCCTCCTCACTTCACCATTGGGTAAGTGTTTATTCACTTAGATTTGTATTTTATATATAAACACTTTCTTGTCATGTATTATATGATCTTGAAAAAGACCCGGCAGGGTCGAAACGTCGATTGATTTTTTTTTATACATCACAGATGATTTATTAAAGCACCAGTTTTCCTATTAACCAGAAGACCTGTGAGTGCATTTTGATTTTTATTTTTGTTTATATATTTGACGCCAACAATTTGCACCCAGGCATGTGAGTTACAAATTTATATTTTTTTTGGAGGTGAGTGCCAAGCGTTCACCTATATATATATATAATTATATATATATTAATAGTAAAATACACCTACACAGTGTATGTGTGTGTATGTATATATATTATATTAATATATATATATATATATATATATATATATATATTTATATACACACACACACACACCCACACTTATTTAACTTTTTTTATTTTATTTTCATTACAGGCAGCCCCCCTGCAGGCAATACAGCAGGCAGCTATCCCGACCATGTGATTGTGAGGTCCCCACTGTACATGGGCGCCGCCATATTGGAGCCAGAAGAGGAAGCCTGACACTACATGCATCGGACAGTGGACCGCAGGGGACTCTGGGGGAGGTGTAAGTCACGCCTTCCTCCTGACATCATCAGGAGTGGGCGGCGCAGCACAGCAGAGACTTCACCTCCGTCAGTAAGAGAAGGAGTCAGGAGAAGACAGCAGGGCAAGGGCAAGGTAGGCTGCGGCATTATAAAAATCCGAATCCCTAGCCGATGGCTGGGGATACAGATTTTTGCACCCCCCCTGCTCGGGGGCCCTAAGGCGGCTGCCTGGGCTGCCTTATGGTCGTGCCGGCCCTGACACCTTGTTATACCCTATTACTTCTTGGTAGTTTCGCTCCATGTTGTTTAATTCAAGGAGAAGGCAGTTGGCCAGAGCACATTACTACCAAAGACTTCATAATTAAATGTAATACAGATCTGATTGGAAAGCAACAGACTTCTCAGTAGACATACAGCTATTGCAAACCAAGGTTTCATATGCCCCCAAAGAAAACATGCAAAATAAACTGCATGCATATTTTCACTGGTGGTATAT